TATTTATAATGAATCAAAATGTTTCGTTTAATTACATTGGACAAAATCTTACCTGTACTGAGTCAACAGGTAAATACACGTGTAGTGGTTTAGAAACTAGACTCATTTGTTTACCATTAGTTAACAACACAGGCCACACCTGCGGGATATGTATACTGATATAGCAAGAGCCAAGAGGTGTACTTGTATAATAAACCGGATACTACTGAAGGTAAACTGTTTACTGCAAGAGAAACGGTGGATAGTTTACAGTATAATGGCAACAGTAAACTCAGCAAAAACAAAAGAGGATCATGGATAGTAAACTGAATACTTATTAAAAAAAAATAGATAACACGTATCATGGTAAATCAAAGAAATTTCGAAGAATGAAGAAAACAGAAGAAGTAAATGAGAAAAGGACAAATATAGAAGAAGAAGAAAAAGAAGAAAGATAAAGAAATAATTAAGTAGAAGAAGAGGAACAAAAACAACTATAGCGACACGTACAAGAACAAAAAAGAACCAGAACAAAAAAACAAGATCTAGAAGAACAAGAAGAACAAGAAGAAGAACAAAAAGAAGAAGAAGCAGAAGAACAACAACGACAACAACAAGAAGAAAGGAAGAAGAAGAGGAAGAAGAAGGAGATAGTAAAGTATGTATAGTGATAAAAAGGAAACTGGGGGTCATGTTTATCTGGGACGCCTCCACTCCTTGTTCAAACAGTGGGAGGAACTCTTAAGTGTTTATCCAAATCTCTCTCTCTCTCTCTCTCTCTAACAGTAAAAAACAAAAAAAAATGAGAACGGAGCAAGAGGAGGAAGGTCTATAAGATTCGAGAAGAAGAAAGGAAAGAAAGAAGATAATGAAGGCGTAAAAAAATATGAGCCTGAAAGAAAGAAAGAAAGAAGAGACGAATAGAAAGAGGAAGGCAAAGATGAAAAAATGAAGAAAATTAGAAAAAAAACTTAGGAGTGGAGAAAAGGTGAGAAATGGAGAACACAGAGGTGACACTCTGTGGTTATGACAAACAGCATGAAGCCGCTCTATGATTACCAGGAACCTGAACAGCATAATCAGGCTCAAGCAGGAGAAACAGCTGTCGTATGATAAGCAATTACACCAGCAAAAACAACAGTAGCAGCAGCCAGGTCAATAACAGTATAAATCATGATAATAACAGTAATATAAACGGCATTAACAGAGACCAACTAACAACTTCAGAAAACAGAAGAAATATAACAGGGAAGCCGTTACAGCAACGACAGAAAAACATCAAAACAGCAGAGACAACAGACACAGCAACAACAGCAGAGCCAACACAGACAGCAGAGACAACAGAGACAACAGACACAGCAACAACAGCAGAGCCAGCACAGACAGCAGACAACAGAGACAACAGACATAGCAACAACAGCAGAGCCAGCACAGACAGCAGAGACAGCAGAGACAACAGACACAGCAACAACATGACAGCACACAAAACAGCAGAGACAACACAGACACAGCAGACAACAGAGCAGACACAGCAACAACAGCAGAGCCAGCACAGACAGCAGAGACAACAGAGACAACAACAGCAACAACACAGCCAGCACAGACAGCAGAGACCAGAGACAACAGACAGACAGCAGAGACAACAGAGACAACAGACATAGCTAGCAGAGACAACAGACACAGGCAGAGAGCAGACAACAGAGCAGACACAGCCACAGAGCAGCACAACAGCAGAGACAACAGAGACAACAGACACAGCAACAACACAGAGCAGCACACAGCAGCAGAGCAGAGACACAGACACAGGACAGCAGAGAGCACAGCACAGACACAGCACAATAGAGACAACAGACACAGCAACAACAGCAGCACACACAACAGAGACAACAGAGACAACAGACACAGCAACAACAGCAGAGCCAGCACAGACAGCAGAGACAACAGAGACAACAGACACAGCAACAACAGCAGAGCCAGCACACACAACAGAGACAACAGAGACAACAGACACAGCAACAAGAGCAGAGCCAGCACAGACAGCAGAGACAACAGAGACAACAGACACAGCAACAACAGCAGAGCCAGCACAGACAGCAGAGACAACAGAGACAACAGACACAGTAACAACAGCAGAGCCAGCTGATCGTAATCAAGGAGTAGAAACATAAAAGTTTTTGTGTTGTATCTCAGCTCCGCCTTGTTGCCTTATGCTAATTCCTGTGTCCTCGATCTGGCCACCAGTTACTTGGGCCAGCCTCCACCATCTGCCTATCCGCCACCACATCCAGCAGCTACCCAACCTCCACCACCTGCACCGCCTCCATCAGTTACTCAGCCTCCAGCAGCTACCCAACCTCAACCACCTGCACCGCCTCCATCAGTTACTCAGCCTCCAGCAGCTACCCAACCTCAACCACCTGCACCGCCTCCATCAGTTATCCAGCCTCCAGCAGCTACCCAACCTCAACCACCTGCACCGCCTCCATCAGTTACCCAGCCTCCAGCAGCTACCCAACCTTAACCACCGCCTCCAGTCTCCACCTGACTCTACCACCACCACCACCACCACCTCGTGATCTTACTACCACCTCAACTCCGTTATTATCTCACCTTACCACCACCTGCCCCCCCCCCCCACCATCACCACCAAGAGACACCTCATTCCCCAAAACTGCCACAAGTGTTTAAATCTTTTTCACTCATCAAGTATCATTTACCAGAGAGGTGTAAAGATAACGTCATATCAGTCAAAACAATTAATTCATCTTAGGAAGCCGTAAGAAACCTGTACTGACCTGTTGTGTACCTGTGGTAATATACTGAACCTGGAAACTCAGAATAAAGACATTGTAACAGTAACCTTTAAGAATTTTTTTTCTCTCAATAACGTCGAGTACAGTCTTAAGCGTCACCAGTTAAGGTTAAGATTAACATCTTAGTTGTTCAGGTTTGTGTCTCGGGAGGAGAGCGTCGACCCAGGTGGCCGGTGGCTCAACAGGCTGGTGATGTGTGTTGGGAAAGGTTGTTCCGTCGTAAACTATCACAACCACAGCGTACAAATTATTTTGATATTTATATAAATACGATTTACATTACTCAAGTCTTTAAAAAATCATCATAAAAGTCACTAGTCATCCCTTACTAGTTTATTAAAATATCGACGTTATTATTAGCATATATTACTCAGTTGTAAATATCTCCCTTCTTGTGCATTGCCCTTGTACACCCGGCAGTATAGGAGTACACTATCCGGTACACTTGTCGAAGGTGATGCAACCCATTAGTAGACGAGCATCCTGCTGAGAGGGTGGAGTAACCCACTAGCAGCTGAATGATAAAAAAATCAAGTGATTAGTACCTGTCCAGCCACCTGTACCATAAAAAGCAAATGGTAATTACGTTTAAACAGTTAATCACCATATGTTAAGGATTTGATTGAAATATTCTATTCTGTAGAAGCAAAGAAAGATGGACAGTGTGTAGATCAGGAAGAGGGGCGATTCTCGACCAGTCAGCCATAACAACCAGGTGTCGTGACAACAGCCGGAACAAGATGACTGCTGGTCGACCACAGGCTTCACCACTTCACTTCAGGACCCAGTACAACAACCTTCTTACCGCGGGAAGCAATGTCGCGGCGAAATGGGAGTCATATACTGAAGAAATATCTATAAGCCTGACCCCTGACCTACTGACTCCCTAATCAGGAAGGATCATCCCAACACCACCAGCAATAAATGTAAACACTTCGTGACTGGTAAATAATCTTCACCTGTAATATCAGTCCAGACGTATTGCGAGACAGACACACGCACACATTATATATATATATATATATATATATATATATATATATATATATATATATATATATATATATATATATATATATATATACACTTACAGGACAAACATACTCGCATATGTAAACCACCACAGGATAGACACACATACACTCACTCATAAAATCAACAAAAATACTTTCGTCCTTCTCAGCCGAAGTGGGAATAAATAACTGAGGGCACAATAAATGTCCCCCGCGAGGCTCACCAACTTGTTACTGTAAATACAAAGAGACAAATAACAGGCCCTGGACCAGCACTCCGATAAGACGGTGGACGACCCCTTCGTTAGTCGAGCAGCTCTACCATCTGAGACAATCAAGCGTGACGTAACCTTTAATGCTAGGGAGAGACAGCTCCTCGCCAATCGCCTGTTGAACAAAGAAGAGTCACACTATAAACGTTACGCCAGACTTTACAGTGCTACATTAAAGTCACACCGGAACGTGGGAATTACGGCACAAAGCGATATCACGTGGGCCTGTCCTCTGGCCGACGAAGGCCTGGGATCCCTGAGCGACGGAACTTAGCCGAGTGGACCCGTAGGAGGGAGGAGAGGAACCACATCTTAGTAACATGCAAGTTATCTCCCCTAAGAAATATTTTTTTTCTGGTCCTTTTAAGCTCAATCAATTATAAAGCTCTCTATGATATAAATTCTTAAGCTATAAACGGCTTTGCCTTCTACATCCTCAAATACAAGTGAAGTCCAGCAAGAGTGCCAAGTACCGTCCACCAGCTGTCAGGGAGTGCAAAATGTAAATGAAGTGTCGGGGAGGAGCAGCTGTAAAAACTCCCCGCTGCCAGGGGTCGTACCGGTACACCTGTAGGCTGCCATGATTCACTTGACTAATCATATAACTGTGAGGCCGATCACTGAACGGCCTCCAGCGGGGTCCTCCTAACAACTTCCCGAGTGAGTAGCACCACTTGACCTCTGAGTACTGTACAACCTCACAACTCAGGTGCACAACCTTACCTCAGCCACAACCTCACAACTCAGGTGCACAACCTTACCTCAGCTACAACCTCACAACTCAGGTGCACAACCTTACCTCAGCTACAACCTCACAACTCAAGTGTTAGAGGATTACCTCACCTCTCACACGCCCGAGTCCTATAAAACCTCACTACTCACTGTTGGATATTGCCTCACCTCTCTTATACTGTACTCTCCATCGTGTTGCCTGGTCAGCAGTTATGAGTTTAAAACCCTGAATTTATGACTATCTCCATCACTTCTTGTGGCTTCCCATCTACAACCTGTTGAGTTACACTTATAACACCTGTGGTTTGAACTTTTTAACATAAATCTGCTAGAACTGATGGCCATCTATGCGAGGTTTGCTCAGCCTCTCTGGTGATCCGTCTCGTGTCTCTTTTCTGCATGACGAACTGATCCACCTGTTTTGGTCTTATTGTCATTAATCTTGTCATGCAAAGTGACCGACCCTTCAACCTAGTTCTCAAAGAGTGACAGTAATAGGAAAACAATTTAAGGAATTAAAAAAGTACTTCATACGCCCGGCAGCACTGATCAGTATACAGGGAACGCTAGAGAGGAAGGGAAACCCCCAGAAAACTGCCAGTCGTCTTCCCCCAAACTGTCGTACAGCACCAAGACTGGGAAAGAATTTAATCTATAAGGAATAAGTATGTAGGATATGCTAACAAAATGTATGCTTTCCGTGGGACGATTACGAACGCTGGATTGACATAATAAAGCCAGGTGAGCAGAATTAATGATCGAGGCGTGGTGTGGTGTGGATGAATAACCAGTAGAGGAGACGACCCTCATCACTGCCACACCCAGGCACAATCACTCACCCAGGAAGTGCCAGGCAGTGCATTCTTAATATATACCTTTCACAACCGAAGCTTTCATTAGAAACTGTACAAGAAAAAAATATGATAAGAAACAAGTTTTTAGTTTCCAGGAAGGGGAGCGTCATATTTGTTAAACAATGATACCTGAGAGTCGTACCAGTGTTTAGACACGACATGAACAAGCCAACTGTAGAGTCTCCACACACACACACACACACACACACACCAGAAGATAAAATCAAAACAAATACGCATATCAAGCGAACATAAACCACAGCGCGTTAGTACAGACGGAAAAGGTTGACTCTTGCCTCCCCAAATATGATCACCTCGAGCCTCAAGCACAACAAATACACAATATATTACCTCCGCCATATTCATACTTCTCAACCACAGTTATGGTCTGAAAATAAAATAGCTCTCCACTAGCACCTTACATCAACAGAGTGCTATTAGTGCACCGTGGCTGACGTTACCACCACTACCGCATAAAATCTCTCATTATCATACAACTGTCAAGGAATGAATACAAAATATCTCCCCCTTATGGTAAAAGATATTCAGGTGTCGTCTACTGAGAATTCTAAAACCTCACAGGCAGGAAATGAGCCCAGGTGTTCATAATTAATGGCGCGTGGTAATTCAGACTAGTGAACCTCTTCATAGTGCGTTACCCTTTACCCGTCCTCCTGGGTCCGAGACAGACAGATAGAAGGAAAGGCAGAAAGACAGACAGATAGACAAAGACAAACATAAGGACGAAGAGACAGAAAGACAATGATAGACAGAAATACAGAGACAAATACAGAGATGTACAGCTAAAGAGACAGAAAGACAGAGATAGACAGCCAAAGAGACAGAAAGACACGTAAAGAGACAGGCAGACAAACAGAAAGAGACAGAAACAAAGAAAAATAAGATGAACAAATTAATAACAAAAGACTACTGTATCTATCTATATAAAGAGAGAGAGAGAGAGAGAGAGAGAGAGAGAGAGAGAGAGAGAGAGAGAGAGAACAGGTGAGCATCCATCTCATAAGTCTCTCAGGTGAAAAGGTCATCATCCAACCAGAAACTTGGAGCACAATACCTCAACCCCCCTTCCTCATCCCTTCCTCACCACACCTACGACTCAGTGTTGATTATCTCCCCCCCCCCGACCTTGACTGTTAATAGATCTCACACTCAACAGAAATCGGAAAAAAAAGTTGAAAAGGAAAATTGGAAGTTTAATTAAGGTGTTTGAGAAGAACTTTGTGACCCTGAGTTTTGACTTGAGATAGATTTCCACCAAAATTTTTTTTCTTCTAAATTTGATAAAAAGAACAAATAAATAAATAGACAAAATTAAGATAAACAAATAACCAAACAAAAACAGAGATAAAACAATATAAACCGTCAAACAAAAATAAATGGATAAATAAATAAATAAATACAAATAAATAAATAAACAAACAAAAATAAAAAATACCAAAACAAACAAACAAATTAACCAATATAAACAGTCCAAAAAAAAAATCCAATAATAAAATCAGGATACCAGGTGAACTTTTTTCTTCTTATATAAAATTCGGATTCACATAAATAATACTCCACAAAGCAACGTCATATAAAGTACAGCTCGACAACAACGAGGTCTGGCCCCAAGGTTAAGGTACAGCACACGGGGGATACTGAACACCTTCCCTAATAACGAGAAAAAACCGAAAACCTGTAAAAAAAAAAATATGAAATCTCTCTCTCTCTCTCTCTCTCTCCCACGCATACTTACAGTCAATATGTGGTGAGGATTTTACTAGCTTTGATAGCTCTGTGAATGCCTCTCTTGATTGATTGACTGACTGACTGACTG